GGCACGGGGCTGTGTGTGACAAGCGTCACTGCCTGGGGCGTGGCAGTGGGCACACGGAGAGGCTGAGATGGGACTCTCATGAGTTCAAGGCCAGCCTGGGCTACATGGCAAGACCGTGTCTCAAAAACAAAACAACAGTCACCGGAAAGAAAGCAGTTAGGGTCAGGGAAGCCCATGATGGTCTGTCCGGGAAATCCAGGCTTCTCCCCTCTGCCCATGGTGCGGCCCTGGGGGACCCCGAGCAGGCGGGCAGCCTGGCTGGCATTCACACGCATGCTCGGGCAAGCCCTGGGTTCCAGCTCATGTGACCTTGAACATGTCCCTGCACTTCTCTGTGTTTGAGTCACCAGTCCTCCCTTCATGGGCTCCCTGTGAGGGTGGGGGGCACCCATGGGGCCCACGCAGGGTCCCCCCAAACTGTGGCCCTCGTCCTACTGGCAGATGCCTTCGTCTCTCTTTTCATTCCCCTCTCCTCCTCCTTTCCAGTAAAAAGCCTGAGTGCAGAGTTTTTCACTCGGCTTCATCCCCAAACCCTTTTATTTTTCACTTTGAGACAGGGTCTCACTAAGTCAATTTAAATCGCCCAGGCTGGGGTTGAACTTGGAATTCTCCTGACTCAGCCCCTCAGGGTGCTGGGATTACAGGCAGGGGCTACCATACCCAGCTCCATGTGGCAGACATCTATTAGGAGGAGGGGGGCCACAAGGGAAGCTAGTGCCCCTGGGCTCTGTCTTGGGAAACCCGGTGTGGTCGGGGACGGTGGCGGGGAGCTGACAGGAGGACCATCTGGGGGCATCAGGGCTGCAATACACGGGAACAAGGGGCCCTGGGAGCCCACAGGAAGTGCCTGACCCTCCAGGCAGGGTGGATGAAACTTCGAGGGGACAATTGAGGCCCCTGTACACAGCCAGGGAGGAGGTGCTAGGTTCTACGCCTGCCCAGTGGTGTCTCTGCCCCTGCAGGCTGTTCACCATGGAGGGGTCCAGTGCCTCTGTCCGGGCTCTAGGGACATGCATGGGGCCTGGACGCTGTGTCAGGCTGACGCAGGGCCAGGACAATGCAATGTCTTCATTCTCGAAGGGACAGGACCCTGTGTCACCATGGTGATACACGCACCAGATCGAAGGTGGTGAAGAACTGTGAAGCCAGACCAGGGACATAGGGTGCTGTGTTAGGTGGGGGGTCAGGGAAGGTCTGGGGTGAGGGTGACATTCAGGCAGAAACTGAATCAGGGGGAGGGTCCCAGGGAAGGTGCCCGGGCAGCAGGCACAGGCAGTGCAAAGGCCCTGCAGTTAGCTGTACCGACCTGTCCAGGATCTGAGTGACAGCATGAGGAATGGCTGGGGGAGGGGCACGGCAAGTGAGCCAGGGTGTGATGGCGACATCGCACAGGGCTTGAGGGACATAGTGGGGACTTGGACTTTCACCGGGAACAGATGGGAGTCCTGGAGGCTCCGGGCAGAGAAGGGTGTGGTGTCAGAAGGGCTCAGAGCTGGGCTGGGCCGCAGTCCATGAGCTTGGCTCCTGGTCCGGGACCACAGTGCAGCTCTGCGTGGGGCCGTGTGTCTAGGACCGCACCTGATCCCCGAGTCAGGGCGGGTCTGGCCCCTCTGACTGTTGCTGTGGCGGGGAAAGGACCCAGTGCCCATCTGCAGTGAGAAGTGGCCATGCAGTGCCTGGAGGGGGGACAGGGATAGAGTGGGCGGTGATGGTGGCAGGGGCTGCTTCAGTCTCCTCTCTGGGCACTCATGTGAACCAGGGCTTGGGATGCTCAAAATGCGTGTTCAGGGCCCCGCTAACTACATGCAGATTAATGGAACTGGGAAGGTCCTTCCTCCACCCGGGAGGCTGAGGCAGGAGGATCTCTGTGAGGGATCGTGTCACTCTCCTTGGGCCTTTCATCCCTCCTGCTGCCTTTGAAATGCATCTGGCTCCGGGTACTGTCCTGTGGAGTGTGCATGGGGTGCTGCGTGTCCCTGAGACAGACGCCATTCAGGTCCCTAGAGAGGACACCTGAGGGTCCCTGCTCGTCCTCCCAAGGGCTGAGTCTCTGAGAGGGATGGCAGGACAACTTTGGGGCTGTGACTTCCAGCGGACGTGGGGCCGTCCAGGGAGGGACAGGACACACTGCTCAGCCCTAGCCCTGCTGTCCCCTTGGGTAAAGCCCAGTTGGGTACGGGGCAGGATGCACAAATGGCACCTGGTCACATGTGACGCTGCCTGCAGCCCCCTCTGCCGTCCCTCCTCGCCTCCCGCCGTGGGGTCCACTGGGCACTAGGTCCCCAGTCCTGCCAATTGGAATGGCCAGGGGAGGCAGAGGCAGGTGATACCACAGCCTGGGAAGCTGGGAGGGCCTGGGACAGCAGGGTGACTGCATGCAACAGGCGACCGATAGCCGGGTCCCGGGGGCTATGGCCCTGGCTCAGCCTCTGTTGTAGTCAGGGGTTGTACACAGAGAACAATTGGATCAAGACATGGAATTTATAATATTTTTATAATGGTCACCGGGAGTTAACACAGAAAAATGCAGGAAATCTATCCGCAACACCAAAGACATAGAATATTTAGTCAAGAGCCTAAATCCCACAGCAATGTCCCACATGAGTCCAGATAAAAACCGAGAGCTCAGGACAATGCCTCCCACGAGTCCAACTGGAGGTCCAGAGCCCACAAGGACTCACGCCAGTCTCTTTTACGGGTCCATGCTGGGAAGGCCCAAAGGTCAGCGGTGGAAGCTAGAAAGTCCAAAGCTAGTGGGTGAAGGAGCTGTGCTAGTGGGATGAGGGTTCCATGCTGCAGCTGACAAGTCACTCTCATAACAAAGACCAGGCACCACAGCCGTCCTCAGCGACACGGAGGCCCCGAGTTCCTCCGACGACAAGCACAGTTGGGTACGTGCCAGGAAGCAGCGTGACAAGTTCATTCTGGAGACCAAGCGATATATGTCTTTCCCTCCGGAGCCAGGAAGCAATGCTTGATATGAGGACCAAAGCTTCTCCAGAACCAACAGCTCAAACAGCAACTCATGGGAGAGACCTCAGTGCCTCAATACCTCAACCCTCAACACCTCCCTTCTTCTCCACCTATTTAAATCCTGGCAACTTTCCTCAGGTGGAGCATCTTTGCTCAATGCTACGCAGATGTAATCCAGCTGGCATTAAGTTGACCACCAGTTCTTAATTCGTAACAGCCTCTTCTCCTCCCCAGGTTGCACCTGCAACCACCAGGGGGGAGCCTCAAACCCAGTCACAGGCGGCTTCCTGCCACAGCTTCCGGTCCCAGAGCTAGAGCCACCCCGCCCACCCTTCCCGGGTCCCAGGACACCCCACCCCACCAGTCCTGGTCCCCATGCCAGTCCTGTTCCCATGCTGACGGATGGGGGCACCATGCTGAGGGCCCTGCTGGGACAGACCTGGCAGGGGACCCAGCAGTGCAGGCAGCAGGAGGAGCTGGAGCAGGGCGCAGGGCGACTTGGGTGAGGAATAGCCCCCAGTGGCTTGCAGGCCCTGAGCTCAGCTCGAGTGGAAACTGAGTGTGGGGTTCAGCCGACCACGGGCCTCAGAGTTAGATCCGGATCTGGGGTGTTATTAATAGAAACAGTCAGAAGATCAAAGCAGGCGATGCCAGCACAGCCCACATAGGGCGAGGGACCTGGGCTGCTGCCGGGAGCTGGGCAAGGAGCATGGGTAGCTACAGACAGGGCGACTCCAAGTGACACAGGGCTGGGAGGAAGACAGGGCAGAGCAGTGCTGGGGTGATGCTCAGGACCAGAGAGATCCTCGAGGCTGAGGCAGGAGGGGGCGGTCACTGTGTCCCCTCACTCTGGGGACGGTATCTCGGAGGTGGAGATTTAAGTGCTGGGGGGAGGCTGGGGTGCAGTGTGGACTGTGATGAGAGCTGGGGCTGGTGTCCAGGAAGTGGGGCGGAGTGCATACAGCTCCCCATAACTCCCCCAATTTCAGGAATTATTTTTTCATGTGCGAGAGGTCTGCACAACCCAGCCCCTCTCCACGTAGCTAAAAATGAGGCAACATTCATGCACAATAATATTTATACACTGTCGAGCCCGAGACTCGACAAATGTGTGCAGCCGAGAAACCACCACCTCCACCAGGACGTAGGTTAGATGGTTATGGTCTCACAAGCCTGGAGCCCCAGCACCTGGGAGGCTGAGGCAGGCGGATGGCCGGCCTGGGCTACTCAGCAAGTTCAAGGTCAGCCTGGATTAGCAAGACCCTGCCTCAAAAAACCAAAAAACAAAACAAAAACAAAACCAGGATATAGGCCAGGCACCGGTGTGGTCTCCATCTCTGGGCTTTGAATGGGGTGCAGAAGAGAGCCTGGTTTCTTACATGGTGTACACCCCCATTTTACCTGCTTTCTAGCTGAGTTCTGTGCTGTCTGGGGCAGGGGCTATGTTACCTCCTCATCTGCGGAAACTTTATGCAATCATGAGTGGAAATGCTATGCTCCACGTGGTTTTCTGTGTTTGTCATTTCTCTAGGGGGACACCTAGGGGCCCTGGTGACTCATCTGAATCATTCTTGCAGCAAGAACTCTTTACCGTGTTTGTGACAGGGTCTCGCTCTGTAGCCCAGGCTGGCCTTACACTCCTGGTGATCCTCCTGCCTCAGCTTCCTTGGTGCACACGGCACCGGCTAAAAATGACTCTCTTAGAACACTTTTCTCTAGGTGGGGACAAGAACGCAGTCCCATATGGTCCCCAGGAGCACCTGCTTGCAGCTGTGGCACATCCAGGATCCCGCTCCGGCCTGGCCCTCCCCAGCCCAGGTCAAAAGCCACTCCGTTACAGCCAGCGTCAGAGCTACCTGGCCCCTGCCTAGTGCCCTGCCGGTCCCCTCTCCCCATCTGTGTAATGAAGAGGGAGCTGAGGACCCTGCGCCTCACCTCTAGGGCAGGTGGTATTTTTTCTTTTTGTTTTCTTCTTTTTTGGGGTGGGTACCAGAAGTCGAACTCAGGACCTTATGCTTGCCAGGCAGGCGTTGTGCTACTGAGCCACACCGCCAGCCCCAGAAGATGCTTTTCAGTGCCGTCTAAGCCACTTAGCTGACAACGGAAGGGCGAGCCCCCCCGCCCCCAGGCCCTGGGAGTGTTGCTGTCCACTTTGGCTGACTTCTCAGGCATCGTCGGCCCTGGCTGCGAATTCACCCACCTTCGGTCATTTGCAGGCACAGAGTGTGAAACCACTCCGGTGACCAGTGTGTGTCCCTGCCGACGGCCTTGTCACCTCTCCTACTGCAAATCCGTACCTTTGTACAGCCTGCTTGGTGCCTTTTAAAAACTGTTCTGCAAATTTTTTCGTTAGTGATTTCCCATCTCAAGTGGCTCTGAGCAGCTCCTAGAGGGGCCGCCTGGTGCTCTCCATGTGGGAGGCAGTGGACCCTTGCCGCTTGAGCTCCAGTGCCACAGACTGCCTGTGAGAACCGCCAATCCGTGTTCGTGACATGGCACAGGGCCCTGGGTGTGTAATGCACATGTCCACTGCTGAGCTGCAGCCCTGGCCGATGTCAAATAAGGCGCCTTGAGCCTGTGCCTGTAATCCCTGCTACACAGGAGGCTGAGGCAGGAGGACTGTGTCTTTTTGAGCTTTTGTCTCACTGTGCAGTTCAGGCTGGCCTGCAGCTTATTTTGTAGCCCAGGCTGGTCTCAAACTTGCAATGATTCTCCTTCCTCAGCCTCCCCACAAGTGCTGGGGGTGATGGGCGTGCGCCCCCGCGGCAAACACCCATGCTGCGACGCGCGCAGGGCTCCCGGAGCTGGGGTCCGCGACGCCCTGCACGAGGTTCCCAGCAGTCAGAGCATGGGGAGGGGGGCGCTGTGCCCTGACCGCCGCCCTCTGCCCGCAGGCGGCCGGGCGCGGCCATGCCGGACCCCGCGGCGCACCTGCCCTTCTTCTACGGCAGCATCTCGCGGGCCGAGGCCGAGGAGCACCTGAAGCTGGCGGGCATGGCCGACGGGCTCTTCCTGCTGCGCCAGTGCCTGCGCTCGCTGGGCGGCTACGTGCTGTCGCTGGTGCACGACGTCCGCTTCCACCACTTCCCCATCGAGCGCCAGCTCAACGGCACCTACGCCATCGCGGGCGGCCGCGCGCACTGCGGCCCCGCCGAGCTCTGCGAGTTCTACTCGCGCGATGCCGACGGGCTGCCCTGCGCGCTGCGCCGCCCGTGCAACCGGCCGGCCGGGCTGGAGCCGCAGCCCGGCGTCTTCGACAGCATGCGCGACGCCATGGTGCGCGACTACGTGCGCCAGACCTGGAAGCTGGAGGTGAGGCGGCCGCGGCGGGCCCAGGAATGGGGCGGGGTGGAGGGAGGGGGCGGGGCGGGGAGGGGCCGGGAGTGGGGAGGGGCAGGGCCCGCACCCGGCCACCCCTGCAGCACCCCCGCGCCCCTTCCCCAGGGCGAGGCCCTGGAGCAGGCCATCCTGAGCCAGGCGCCGCAGGTAGAGAAGCTCATCGCCACCGCGGCCCACGAGCGGATGCCCTGGTACCACAACGGCCTGACGCGCGAGGAGGCCGAGCGCAAGCTTTACTCCGGCTCGCAGACGGACGGCAAGTTCCTGTAAGTGGGCCGGGTGGGGAGGGGGCGGCACCCCTGGGTGTGCGAGCGGGTGTGGCCGTGCAGCTCCGGTGTGCAGAGGCAGCCCCCTTCCCCTTCTCCTGCTCCTCCTGCCCCTCTGTCCTTTTTGGAGGTGCTGGCGATTAAACTCCGGGCCTTTGCACGAGCTCTGTCCCCAGCCCTTTTATTTATTTTTTCTTTGCTTTTGAGACAAGGTCTCCCTAAGTTGCTACGTTGCCTGCCCTGGGCTAGAACCTTTGCTCCTCCGCTCTTCCTGCCGCAGCCACCCAGAGTGCTGGCATACCAGGAGGGCACCACCGGGGACTTCTGTGGCATCTTCTCCGTCTGACAGGGTTTAGGGAACTCTTGCAGGGTACCAGGCACTGCTGACCTGGCCGCGAACCAGAGGCTAGTGCCCGTGCTTGTGGGACACTGTAGAGTGTGCTAGGGGGTGCTGTGTGCTGCGTGTGGCCAGGGAGGTCTCCCCAGAGAGGAGCCGGATGAGGCCACAGGGGCTGTGGGGTGGGGGTCAGTGGTAGGGACCTTGTGCCCAGCGCAGGGCGCTGTTCCCAGCATGCAAAACCAAAGCGAGACAGAAGGGAGCTGGGCACCACCAACTGGCTGGTGACCCAGAGGCCAGGAGGTGGGCATTTATTTGGAAAGTTCGAGAAATGAGGGGAGGGTCAGGGTGTGGAGTGAGCTCAGCGAGGTGGTGGGTTTTGTCCCTGGGGAGGTTAGGCTGCTTCAGGAATGTCACCCTGATTCTTCTCCCTGTGTTGTCCCCCCCACGGTCACTTCAGTTGGGCCAGTGCCACTCGCTCAGGTCACTTCTCCAAGGGCCAGCTGCTGGGGTCACATGGGTTCGCGGTGATGCAGCAGTGCACTTCCAGTGTGTGCAGGGCGCTGTGCATGACAGCGTGTGTCTGTGTGTGTCTGGGGGCAGCCGAGGCCATGTGGGTGTGGTGACTTTTTTGGGGTGAAGGAATCTCTGAAGAGCTCTGAGCTCTCCCTGGGTGGCTGAGAGCCCTGTGGAGCTGCTGCCATCCGGTTTGAACACAGGTTCTTCTGTGTACAGATGTTACCCAGGTTTCAGGTGTCATCAGGTCCCAGGAATCCAGGAGTCCCCAAGAGGTCTGAGGGGGACGGTTCCCAGGGCCTCTCTGTGTGGGTGCATCTCTGCTCCAGTCCTGGCTGGCTGTCACCCTCCTGCCTTAGGACCCTTTCCTGTCTGGGTCTCCCTGCCGGGAGGAGCTGACCCTTCCACCAGGCCTCCCTCCACGTGAGGCCATGCTGTGGCCTGGAAATCTCCTAAGCGAGCAGTCCTCCTGGACTCTGCCGTCCATTTTTGCCATGTAACCACGGGGTCTGCCGTGTGTCACAGGCCTGTGAGCTGACTGAGCAGCTCTCGTTTGGCTCAGCGGGGTGGGGACCGGGGAGTTCTGGGTGGCCCAGCTCCAGTGTCATTGGGGTGATGGGGTGAGCTGGCTGCTGGGCCATCATAACCTGGCAGCCCGGCCTGGGGTCACTCACATGGGGAGGCGTAGGGTTCCTGAGAACAGCCAGGGAAAGCAAGTTGTAACTTACGTGTGGACATGCACACACGCACGTGCATGCCTCAAACTTCTGGTTCTGCAATGTCCCTGATGTCCTGCAACCCAGGCTATCATGTGGCTAAACAACTGAGCTGTATCCTTTTTTTTTTTTTTTTTTTTTTGAGGGTCTTGCTAAGCTACTCACTTGCCCAGGCTGGGTTTAAATTTGCAGTCCTCCTGCCTCAGCCTCCCTGCTGGAATTCCAGCTGTGCATATTATTTAAGTGCCAAGACTCATGGTATTTCTCACCCTGTACCTCTAGCTAAAGGGCAGGTTCCAATCACAAAAGGCAGAACTGCTATTGTCTGGTAGTTCTTTTGTCAATAAAGTAGAATTCGAGGCATTGAAACGAATGCAGTCATAAAACCGAAGTCTTGGCCTTTGAATTTACCAGGAGCTAGTGGCTGCCTCTCACCAAGAAGAGTACATGGTTAGCACTTGCCGAGTAACAAACTACCCCAACACGTTGCGGCTTTTGAAATGGTGGCTTTCGTAGCCCCTCTGCAGTCCAGGCTGAGTTTAGCAGGCCGGTTCCAGTTCTGCTGGCTTTGTAGCTTGCTCACGTGACTCCCCCGAGAGGGCGCCTGGGGTTGGCCAGTCCCGCACGGCTTCACCCTCGAGTCTGCAGGGGGCAGTCTGGTGGCCCCTTTAGCCAGCTGGTTGCTGTGGACTCATCTCCACAGTGGGCACAGGCTTGCCAGGAAAAGCAAGAGCAGTCAGCCAGGGCCCCACGGTCACCATGCCTCAGTCTGTGTTGTGTGTGTGCCAAAACCAGTTAGGTGGTCGGACACTGGCCCAGCAGATTAGAAAAACATGTGGATACTGTTATGGATGGCAGGTGCTGCCTGGTGCTATGGTGGCTTCTCCCCACCCAGTCCTGTACATACACGTTCATTAGTGAGGGGCCTGGCTTCGATTTTCTGACGTCTGTTTAAAATTTACGGTTCTGGCTGGGTGTGGTGTGGTGGTGCACACCCATCAACCAGTGCTCTGGGAGACGAGGCAGGAGGGTTACAGCTGTCAGCCTGGGCAACCTAGCAATGTGAGACTCTCCCGCTGTCCCTGCTGTGTCTGCCTGGACACCACCCCTGGACTGTTGTGCGTCTGCCTGGGGACTGTATTGCCTGTCCCTGAGCTGTTGTCTGGGAATAGATGAAATAGTCACGGCTGTTCTTGTCAGCTCTGCTATAGTGGTGTAGGGGACAGTACTGGGTTCCTTTGCCCTGAGGAAGGGCCTGCTGGCGAAATGGACTCCCCTCTGTCTCATCCACATACCCCTCCCCCGCCCGTGGTCATAAATATCCATCCAAAGGAAGGTGGATGGGTGGGGCCCATAGGCTGGCAGAGTGACCCTGCAATCCACGGCCTGGGACTCCACAGGAGGGTGGCCTGATGGCCAGCTCTCTGGTCAGCACAAGCCCTGGTTAGCACCGGCACCTTCTTAGCCCCGAGGCCCTAGGACCAGCTTGCTGCCTGCCCTCATCCATGGGGGGAGGGGCAGCGCTGCCTCCTGGAGCCAGGGACTCTGCCACCCTGCTTGATGGGTGACGCTGTGTTCCCACCCAGGGGTTCACGTGAGGGTGCCAGAGTCTGGCTGTGGGTTGGCCTGGGTGCGTGTGCTGGGTGAGTACGTGTACACAAGTGAGTGGTGTCCATGGTGATGGGCAGACAGGCTCCGCCTGCACCTCCTATGGCGGGGTGGTCCCCATCATGGAAGGTGTGCAGATTTGTTTTGGTTTCTGTCCAGTGAAGACAGTCGAGGACTGCGTGTCCCCTGGCCAGTCTGTCTGTGTGATTGTCATGCACTGTGCTGGGGGTGACAGCCCTGACTTGCACGAGGTGGCTGGAAGAGTCACAGCTAGGTCCCTGGGTGGTCGGCGTCGAGGGGGCTTCCTGCGCCAGCACAGTGGTCCAGTCTGTGGAACCTGTGTCCCTTTGGAAGGGCCCTGTGCTTGCTGGAGGTAGCCCCAGGCGTGGCCAGCTGTCCCCTGCCGGCCACCGAGTATCCCTCAGTGGGTGGCAAGTGTCTGGCTGTGGGCCGCCGTGCGTTCAGCTGCTGGCTGAGCAGGCCTGGCGGCTGCATGGCTGTCCTTGGGCAGCTGTGTGTGTCTCCACAAACCCGGCCACTGTCCTCTCTGACTGTGCTCCCGAGGGCCTGTCACCCGGAGTGGCTGTCGGGTGATACCTGACCTGGGCTTCTCTAGTCCCTGCAGAGTCCACAGCGTGTGAGTCCGGGGACACTGAGGACAGAAGGAGCCTCAGTGGCCCCGCAGGTGACAGCCTCCTGGCCCTGCAGGCTGAGGCCCCGGAAGGAGCCAAGCACCTATGCGCTGTCTGTGATCTATGGGAAAACCGTGTACCACTACCTCATCAAGCAGGACAAGGCCGGCAAGTTCTGCATCCCCGAAGGCACCAAGTTCGACACACTGTGGCAGGTACGGGCCAGGGCAGGGGCCAGGGGAGACTCGGCCAGGCTGCTGGGGGACCCCACCTGATGCCGGCTCCCCGCAGCTGGTGGAGTACCTGAAGCTCAAGGCCGACGGGCTCATCTACTGCCTGAAGGAGCCCTGCCCCAACACCAGCGCGGAGGGTGAGCTGGCTTTGGGTGGCCAGGGCTGGAGTGGGGTGGGGCAGGATGGGGTCCTCCCCCTCACCATCCATTCTGCTCCCCCAGGGGCCGCCGCTCCCACGCTTCCTGCCCACCCATCCACATTCTCCCAAGTGAGTCGGGGTCTCGGCACTGGGGCTGGGGCGGCTGTGGAGGGAACAGGGTCCCCCGCCTGTGGCTGGACATCCTTGCTGGTCCTGCTCACCATTCCATCTTATGATCTTTAGCCTCAGAGACGGGTAGACACCAACTCTGATGGCTACACCCCAGAACCAGGTGAGCTGGCCGGGGTGCAGGTAGGGATAGGGCCTGGGAGCCCGGTCCCCGGGTACCATGGGGCTTGGCAGGGGAGGATGAGGGAGGCCTGGGGGGGCTGGCATGGCCCATGCCCTGCTCACATGTGCTTGCACCATCACGTCTGCCCGTGTGCACGTGGTCCAGACACCTGGGAGCATGTGCACCTGGACACACCAGCTGTGAGCGCTCGTGTGCTGCCATGTGCCACGTGTGCCTGGCGGGCCCACCCTGAGCCGCCCCTTTCCCCGCCCCTGCCTGGTGTGCACACTGCCTGTGTGCTCAGCGCGTCCGGCACCTGCGGGTGAGCCGCGGCCGATGCCCATGGACACGAGCGTGTACGAGAGCCCTTACAGCGACCCTGAGGAGCTCAAGGACAAGAAACTCTTCCTGAAGCGCGAGAACCTGCTGGTGGCTGACATTGAGCTCGGCTGCGGCAACTTCGGCTCAGTGCGCCAGGGCGTCTACCGCATGCGCAAGTATGAGAGTGCCCGTGTGGGGCAGGGGATTTGGGTGGGAGCCGGGTGGGTGTGCGTCGAGGGACAGACTGTGCCGGGGGAGGTAGGGGGCTGGACATGGGAGAGGGAGCGAGAAGATGCAGGCCTGGGCAGAGCCTGGCACAGCACCCCAGGCGGGGAGGCGGGCTGGGGTCTCATTGGCTGGGGCACCCTGGGGCCATGGGGCGCTTTCCTCAGCATCGCCTGGGTCTAGGGCGGGGAGTGCTGGACTCACACCCCAACTCCCGGCAGGAAGCAGATTGACGTGGCCATCAAGGTGCTGAAGCAGAGCACGGAGAAGGCGGACAAGGACGAGATGATGCGGGAGGCGCAGATCATGCACCAGCTGGATAACCCCTACATCGTGCGGCTCATTGGCGTGTGCCAGGCCGAGGCGCTCATGCTGGTCATGGAGATGGCGGGCGGCGGCCCGCTGCACAAGTTCCTGGTGGGAAGGAAGTGAGCCATGGGCAGGGGCGCGGGGGGCCACACGCATGACCCCCAGCACCCTGGCGCTGGCCCCCAAACCCCTGCTGGAGCTGACAGGATCGGCCCAATCGGATGTGGTCGATGCCTGTGAAGTATTCCCTGAACATCTGGCACAGCTGGCGGGAGCTTTGCAGAGAGCAGCCCTGTCACTGCGCCCAGGTTCCCCAGGCTCACGCCCTGGGGAAATTGCTCACGGTCACTTATGTTCTACACCTGGGGCCATGGATGGAGGCTTCAGCTTGCTTTTTTCGTGTGTGGTTTTCTTTCTCTTTTTTGAGACGGGGTCTCACTATGTGGCTCAGGCTGGGCTGGAGCTCATTTTATAGCCCAGGTTGGTCTTGAACTCAGGACGATCCTCCTGCCTCAGCCTCCTGAGGCTAGGATGACAGGTGTGCATCACCACACCTATTTTTTTTTTGTTTTTTTTTTTTTTTTAAGGGTTAAATAAGAAACAAAACCTCCAGAGTGTGTGACGGAGGCCACGGTTGGCAGAGGCTGTGGTGTGTGCCGAGCTGTGTGGCCTTGGGCAGGAATGTGTGTGGTTTCACCAGTGTCTCCTCGTGCCTGCCCTTGTGTGCTCTCTGCTGTCACCACCAGTGCCCGGCCTTGGCCTTCTATCACCGGGCAAGGGCTTGCCGGGTGTTGCCTTGGGAACGGGGCTGCCTCATCCCCCTGACTGTCCTGCTCCCCAGGGAGGAGATTCCCGTGAGCAACGTGGCTGAGCTGCTGCACCAGGTGTCCATGGGGATGAAGTATCTGGAGGAGAAGAATTTCGTGCACCGCGACCTGGCGGCCCGCAACGTCCTGCTGGTCAACCGGCACTACGCCAAGATCAGCGACTTTGGCCTCTCCAAGGCCTTGGGCGCCGACGACAGCTACTACACCGTGAGCCCGCGGTGGCCGCGGAGTGGGGTGTGGGCTCCGGGGACAGAGGGTCCTCGAGTCCCCTGACCTAGCCGCGTCTCCCGCCCCAGGCCCGCTCGGCCGGGAAGTGGCCCCTCAAGTGGTACGCGCCCGAGTGCATCAATTTTCGCAAGTTCTCCAGCCGCAGCGACGTGTGGAGCTACGGGGTCACCATGTGGGAGGCCTTTTCTTACGGCCAGAAACCCTACAAGGCAGGCACGGGGCGGGGCCTGTGTGGCGTGGGGCGGGGCGCAGGTGGCACCTGGCACTCACGCCGCCTCCCTGCCCAGCAGAAGATGAAGGGCCCCGAGGTGCTGGAGTTCATCAAGCAGGGCAGGCGGATGGAGTGCCCGCCCGAGTGCCCGCCTGAGATGTACGCGCTCATGAGCGACTGCTGGATCTACAAGTGAGTGTCCACGGGGAGCTGTGGGACCCGCATCTGGGCCCGGTGCCACCGGGCACACAGGCCTCATACAGAGCCGCGTGGTTACCCAACATGTGGCACCGTCCATGCCCTAATACCGAGGCCCACGGACCCTCCCGCCAGCACTCGCACCTGGCACCCAGCGAGGCCCACAGCAGGTGCACCTTGGCGTGTTCGACCCCACCTGGGTCTGCCTGCAGCCCAGTACCCAAGTCCTGGCACCACCCATGTCCACCTCCCTGCCGACTGCAGACAGCGTCGCCCCCCACGGGCTCCTAGGGGCTGTAGTTACTGCCCCGACATCCGGGGACTCAGGTTTCCAAGTGCCCTGTCCATCAGCAACATGGGATTCCAGGGCCCTCACTCCAGCACCTCCTTTACCTAGCAGTCCCCACACTCAGGGGCCCGTTTGTTTTTGGGGAGTCCTGATTCCGCCACAGCCAAGCCCCATCCAGGCCCCTTCTGGGCTGAGGCTGTGGCCTGGGTGTGGTCAGTGCTGTGTCTGCACCCTTGCAGGTGGGAGGACCGCCCCGACTTCCAGACGGTGGAGCAGCGCATGCGGACCTATTACTACAGCCTGGCGAGCAAGGCCGAGGGATCCCCGCAGTGCACACAGGGGCCCGAGGCTGTGTGTGCCTGAGCCAGGCGCTTGGCGCCGGGACCCCAGCCTGGCCTTGGTCCTCTGTGCCAGGGGCAGGGGCCGAGGCGGGCTGGTCCTGGGCCGAGGCAGAGGCTGGGGTCCGAGGCTGAACACGCTTCAGTTGGAATAAGCTCGGCTTCTCCCGTGCCTGAGCTTTTTTGGGGTAAGGCCAGCCCAGGTGGGGCGGCCACTGGCAGGAGTGGGTGAAAGCGCCTCAAAGTGATTTTCCTCCTGTGGTTGGCTGTTCCCTCTCCTCGGCATGAGCAGCATCCTCAGGGCAGAACAGGGAAACGGCTCAGGTGTGTGCAGGCCGCAGGACTGTGTGCCCTGCCTCAGCTTTCCAGAGTCACCCAGCTGCCTGCTCAGCGACTCCCACCTTCCTCTCCGGCCCCAGTCACAGCTGCAGTCTCTGTCACCTGCCGCCCCACATGTCAGCTCCGTCCTGCTCAGAACATTCCCCAAGTCTTGCTGCCTCGGTTTCCCCACATGGGAAATTGGGTTGTTGGAAGGTGGAGCCCAACAGGGGACTGATGGGCAGCCAGGGATGGTCAGGGCTTCTCTGAGTGTGGCCCTCTCGAGGCAGGGTGGGCTCCGTCCCCAGTGCCTCACTCCCCTGGCCGGCTTAGTCCAGGGGACAGCCTGTGACCCACTGACAGCCAGTGAGAGCAGTGGAGCCTCGCGGGGCCTTCTGGGAAAGCAGACCTCCTTTTTATTTGTGGTGTGAAGCCGGGAGACCCAGAAGCCGGAGCTGTTTTGTGGGGCCACAGGGGAGGCAGTAGGGCAGAGCTCAAGACCCACGTGTGTGGCTACAGAGAGGGGACCCAGGCCTTGGGTGCTTGTGCCTAGTTATGACACCAGGAGGTCCACCCCAGCACTGACCCTACTCTGACCTCGCCATTGGTTATTGGGTTTGGTAATTTAAATGTCTGCTTAATTTAGCAGATCTTGTTACTTTCTTCAGTGACCTTTGTGTTTCCCTTGGAGGCCGAGTGAACGCGCCTGGTTCCAGGGCCCAGGGCAGGGGCACAGTGACTCCATTGTGTGTGTGGGGCATCAGATGCTCGGGTTGCCTGGGGGTCTGTGAACCCCACCAGGTGTGACTGCTGATCACAGAGAGAGACAGAACTGGGACTGCCTCGGGCCTGCCAGTCTTTGTGACCTCTTGGCGGTTTCCCGTGTTTAAAATCTAATGTACCAGTGCCTAAATGTTAGATGCTAGCACTGTTTTTGAATGACGTCTTTAATAAAGGAGACTGACACCATAGGTGTGATTTAATAGCTTTTTGGATTCTTCCGTTTTAGGGAGTTCAGTTGTAGCCTGGGTGATGATTTATGTTATTCAATAAAGCACACCAGAGAGGGCCGGGGACGTGGCTCAGTGGCACAGTGCCTGCCTGGCAAGTGTGAGGTCTGAGTTCAATTCCTGGTGCCTAAAAAACCCCCAGACAGTAAATAAGCTTGTACTTTGGTTTCTTTTATGCTCATTATCATTAGTTATGTTTGGTGATTAGTGCTGAAAACAGTGTGATTTCTGAAAACAGTGTGATTTCATAGGAATTTCACTGTGGATATCAAAAGATTTCACGGAACCAGGGGCTTCGAGACCCTGCGGAATGGAGCCAGGCAACGAGGTGCAGTTCCGCCACACGGTCACCAGGTGGCGCTGCTGTAAAGCCAGGCCCCCTCGGTGGGTCGCGCCCGCCCCAGGTCGTGGCGCGGAGGTCCCCTCCCCCATCTCCTGCCCGGGTTCCGTCCTCTGCAGTGCGTTCTCACCGCAGTTCCTTTGCTACTCAGCGGCTCCAGGTTCCCGGCCTCCCCCTCTGCCTCTTTTCTTGCCTCTACTTCGGGGACCGAGTCCCCTGGGTTTGCCTTTGGATGCCTCCCGGGAAGTGCGTGCGTACTGCGACATATTTGGCTCCAATGGGGAGGGTGCTGGGGCCCGAAAGTCTTGGGGTGAAGAGCGAGAGGGGTAGAGGGAGTGGGAGCCTGTAGTCTTGGCCTGGCTTAGGCTCCTCCTCCTGGTCCTGGAAGACACAGGTTGGGCTGCGGGTAGGGGGTGCTGCAACCCTGGAGGAGAAGCCAGGAGCTGTGGGCCAGTGGCCAGCTGTCACCCGTGAAACGCACAGAGCCCAAGTTGTAGTGGCGCACGCCAGTAATCCTAGCACTCCGGAGGCTGAGGCAGGGGGATTGCCTCGAGTTCAAAGGCAACCTGGGCTACACCTCCAGACCCTGTCTCAACAAACAATAAATACACACCGGTGACCGGCAGGCTGCTGTGACTACGCGGTGCTCTGGGACACCGTGACAGGAGAGGTAGCTCATGTGCGGGGGTGGGGCCTGCACAGTCAGGAGGCTGGGAGTGTTCAGGGGTCCCCCAGCGCCTTGCCCTCCCAACCCTCCGCTCTGTTCCCCTCCCCACTCTGTCCCTTTTTGCCCTGCACGCTCTGTGGCTCTCAGGCTCTCTCTCTCCATGTGCCTGTCCTGCCCTCATCTGTCTGTCCATCTGCCTTAGGTCCCATGGGTCCCACACCATGGGCAGAAGAGCTGCCTTGCCCTGTGCTCTGTCCCCTGCTCTTTGGGGTCTGCTTCCCCGATGCTGGGGATAGGAGACCCCAGAAGTGAGCCTGCAGCCACTGCCCCTGTGTCTCTGCCTCTGTGTCCCCTGTCTCCCTATCCACCCCTGGATCCCCCACCCCACTTCTGCGGGCATCACCTCTGCAACCTGCAATGATCCCCATGGTTCCACTGCTGATGCCACCTGACCTGGGCCTCTGCTTCTCCCCATAACTAATGGGGAGACCCAGCCCCAGGCTCCTCTCTGAAGGTCCTGTAATTTGTTGCTCTGGGACAGCCACTTGCCAGGACTTGGGGTTCCTGGGGTGGCTCAGCGAGGGGGGTGTTAGGGACAGCAGAGGCAGGAGGGCTTATTCCTGGGCTGTCAGGGTTTGGCCCTGCAGGCCCAGCTATCACAGAGCTCTGGGTACCGCCCATGGGTGGTGTCAGGACTGGCTATGGCTGTGGGGGTCTGGCTGCTGTGGGATGGTTTGGGGGTAATGAGGGCGGGGCTGGGGTAAGATCCTGTTTCCGTCAGTGTCAGCTTCATCGCTGGTGACAAAACACAGAGAAAATGAGTGTACAGGAGGAGGGGCTGAGGTTCCGGTCAGCGGTGGCGTCTGGGCTGGCAGAGATCCTGTGGTGGCCAAGGCTGGTGCAGTGAAGCTGTCCCTCCATGGTGACAGGAACCAGAGAGCCTGGGACAGGGAGACCTTCCGGGGCACACTCAGCAAGCTCTTCCTCCGTGGGACCCACCCCTAAAGTCTCCACCATCTGTCATGAGGCCACCATGTGGAGCCCACCAACAGGGAGACCCTTGAAGAGGTGGTGCCCTGGTGCCTGTCACCTCCAGAGGCCCTGCCTGGGACCCCGAGGGCTGGCACTGAGCCTTCAGCATGGGCGTGGGGACCATTTGTATTCAAACCGCAGTGTCAGTCTCAGGCGGCATGCATGGGCAGATGGTGGCACTGCCCCCAGGAGCCCAGTGGCTGCATTTGGGGTCTGATTACAGTTGGTGGCCGCACTTCCTCTGGCCCCTGCCTCCCGTTCAGCTTCAGCTCCTGCTCCATGCTGCACCTAGCTTGTGAGGATCCCAGGGCTGGGGATCTTGCTCAGGCAGGGAGAGGTGTGGCCTCTTGTCCCAAGCTTGCCACTGCCCCTGGATGGTTCCCCAGAGCTAGAGACGGAAGCCAGGGCCTCACGGACACCTGGAATGCTGGCCTCTGAGCTGCACCCCAGCTCTCTTCCCTCGAGCTTTGAGGCTGGGCCCAAGGCACCTGTGACAGGCCTGAGGCTTCAGGGTCCAGGGCTCTAGCCACAGGGACCTCCCTTGGCACTGAGAGGCTGTGGGTACCAGCAGAGGGCCAGTTTCAAGGTGTCCAGGTTGGGGGGGGGGGCTCTAGGCAGAGGGAAAAGCTGTGTCAGGACACAGGGCGGGGACAGATCTGGCTTGCTCAGGGTAGAGAAGCCAATATGGCTCAGTGAGCCAGCAGAATGGCACCATGGGAGGGTTTGGGCCGTGCTCAGAGCAGATAGCTCAGAAACTGGGGAAAGGGGCTGGGGATACAGCTCAGCAGCACAGCGTCTGCCTGGCAAGTGCAAGGTTGTGAGTTTGATTCCTCCTACCAAAAACAAAAATAAAAAATGGGGAAAATATCTGTGATCTATCTGGTAAGTGTGTGATATCTATAACATAAAACTGAACAGATAGGGACCCCAGCAACTCAGCAACAAAAAGACAACCCCACTAAGAATTGTGCAAACGCCTTGACCATATACTTCTCCAAAGATTAACAAATGACCAATAAGTACATGAAAAGATGCCTTTTAATGACCATTAGTCATTAGAAAATGCAAATCAAACACAGGAAATACCACTGCATTCCTACCTGCATGGCTGTCAGGAACACACACTAACAAGTGAGAAATGTGGAGACACTGAGACACTTGTACACTGCTGATGGGAAAGTAAGATGGGATGGCTACTGTGGAAAACAGTCTGCAAAACTAAACACTAGTAATTCCTCTTTTAAGTATAAATCCAAAGATAATTAAAAACAAGGACTCTAACAGGTTTTCATACCTTAATATTCAATGCAGAATTATGGACAGTAGCCTGAATATGGAGAAAACTCAGGCCCTCTGACTTGTGAATAGATAAGATATAGTGTAAATGCATTGAAATATTACTTGGCCATAAAAAGGAACAAAACTGTCACAACAATGGTAGAGATGGACTTTGAAAACATTATGTTAAGTCAAAACACAAAGGACAAATATGATTTTATTCCACTTCTGTAAACTATGTAAACCAGGCAAATTTATAGACAGAAAAGAGAGGTTGACATATTTGGAGGAGTATCAAAGGACGAAAAATTGGTTAGTATGTCCAGAGTTTCTGGCTGGGGTGACAGAACTAAGTTTTGGAAATATATGAGGATGGCCACATAATACTGTGAATGTAATTAGTGACACCAAATGTGTATAGAAAATCATTAATTAGCAAATTTGTAAATGATTTTGAAAGCTAGAAGAACACACATTTATTCCATGTATGTCCAGTATGGGATGAGACGAAGCAGCCCTCTTAGAGATAGCACTCCCAGAAGACCATTTAGGGCTCACTAGGGGGACAGATTTACTACAAAATGTATGATCGTGGCCGTCTGTGGAGCCAGGATGAAAGAGTGCAGAATTGCTGTCTTTGCGCACTGGAGTTGGAGGAGCCAGTGAAGGTGGAAGGCCTGGAGCTCACTGCAGTCTGCTGTGAGTGTGTGTTGGAAAGCTGAGAAGTCCGCCCTGGAAGCCTGAAGGAACTGGAGACCAATGTCCTAAGGCAATAGCAAAGACCACAATTCCTCTGCAGAAAAATGAGGAGACTTCCTCATTCTTTCCCTTTGATTGCGCGCGGGCTACAAGCCTATTGGTTGGTGCCGCCCACATCCTGGGTGGGTCTTCTCTCCTCATTTGCTGCCTACATGTCAATCATCCGTAGACACACCCAGAACCATGCTCCATCAATTTGCTGGCATTTCCTAATCCATTAGCTGACCTCACAGTTAATGATACCCAGTGTTGTCTATGCTTATGACCTGCGTGTTAAAACTTTGAGCAGGATGGGCTGTCAGTATCCTCTGGCTGTGTGGGGCTGGGAGTAGGGTGACAGCTGGAGCCAGAGTTGCTCTAGGTCTCCTCAGCATGTTCTGGGGTGGGGCACCGGCGGGAAGTGTGGGGTTCCCTCCTGCCCTGTCTGTATCCGGTGCCTGCCTTCTGTCGTGGCACTGGTGCAGGTCCACGTGAGGCCAGCTGTGCTGGTGGCCTTGGAAGGTGATTTCCCTCACCTCATGGTTCTTGAGGCTGCTGTGGATTTGGCTTAAAAGCAGTGGAGCTGGTTGATCATGGACTGAAACCTCTGCAACTGGGAATAAAAACAAGCCTTTCCTGGCGCTCGCTCAGCACATGGCCCAGGCCTGCACATCACCTGCCAGGCTGTGATATCACTCCTGGAGGAAACTTCTCCAAAGCCAAAGGTAGTTTTGCAAAACCACAAAGCTTATTTGCCAGCTGCAGGGAGGGATGGTACTTACACCCTCTTGCATATAGAATGTTGCATTTCTAACTCTGACCATAGACACAGGTGCAAGGAGCCTCGTGGGAAACAGATGTGGAGATTTCTGGCATCCAGGCTTTGCAGCAGGACTCCTCAGCCAATGGTGGGAGTCC